ACATTTTTTCTTATGCAAACGATTTCTGGGGTGTGTAGAACCGAATTTGCAGACCCAACTTCCCATGAACAAGGAGGCCCCTTGTGCAGAGGGGGGGGGTGCTTTGCAGCGATGCTGGGATTTGTCGGGGTACTTATGAAGTCTTGGGTGCGGAGATTTAGGGGACAGTGGACTTGGGCGTGGTTCGTGCATCGAGTTGGAACCACGGGGTTTGGGGTTTAGGGATGTGTCAACTTCCGCCACGGATCGTAGGCCTCGATGCTGAGTTGAGAAGTTGAGAGCACTTCCGGCACCTGGCAGTCGTCAGATGATTTTCCTTACAAGGTGGCTGAGCAAAGACAGCAGCACAAACTTATCAGCATGGATCCCAAGGAATCAAAACATGTGCGATTTTGGTTTGCGCGCGTGGGGACTTCGGGTTCGGAGCTTTGTGTTTCGGGTTTAGGGTTTTGGGTTTAGGATTTAGGGTTTAGGGGTTTAGGGGTTTAGGGGTTTAGGGTTTAGGGGTTTAGGGTCTATTTTTTTGGGGTTTAGGGTTAGTTTGGGGCTACAGACTTCGAAGCCTCGTTCTCAGGGAAGCTTCAGACGACGACTGCCAATCTCGGCTACTTCAGGCGTCTGAGTTGGATCGCTAAACCCCTAAACCCTAAACCCTAAACTCCCAAACCCCTGAACCCCTGAACCCCTGAATCCCTAAACCATGAACGCCAAGAGCTGTTTCTGACTGCTAAACTTGCAGGGGGTACCATGGGAGCCTGATAGCTAGAATAAGGTCCTCAGGGGTCCGCAATACGGTTGATGACAGAAATCCTGCATTACCCATAATAAGGAGTATACCATAATTCCCATAGCTTCGGGTCCTTGAAGGTTATGGATTTAGATCACCAACAGTATCTTTGCACCAGAATATACCCAAACGCCGAAGCCCTAAGTCTCCTATACGGATGGGCCAGCGCCCCCCATAAGTGCCGCATGGGCCACGCAAGAGAAGCGAAGGCTTAGAGTTTAGCTATTTAAGGGCTTGCTTGTGTGATGATCTTAAGGCTTTGTTTTTTAGGGCTTTAGGTTTTAAGGGTTTGTTGGTTAACGGCTTAGGGTTTGAAGGTTTTGAATAAGGGTCCAGGGTTCAGGTATTAAGAGCTAGGGGTCTACCGTGTTTATCGTTTTGCCTCGACCTGTTACAGCTGGACCGAGCCTCATGTCAGAAAGGTACATCGCCCAACTTCTTCGCCCAAGTGCCAAAGCACCCAGGGTTTAGGGCTTTGGGTTTAGGGTTTAGGGCTTAGGGTTTAGGGTGTTAACACCTCATTACGTGGCTTTCGGATGGCAGAACTTGTAGGTTCCCCCCCTCAGGCCGGCACAACACCCCTGAAATAACATGGAAAACACCCTTACACAACTATGTAACTATGACACCCACATCGTATCCTTTTGTAGCTGTCACCGTAACTAACCCTAGTCACCCGTCTAGTATCCCCTGAACCCTAGCCCCCCTAAGTCTATCCTCTTGAAACTCTAAAGAAGCCCTTGTGTCGTAGACTTTGAACCCGGGCGGAGGAAGCGGCCACCAATGCGGCCGCAGCTGCATCGACAGCCGTGGCAGCAAGCCAGGGCCAGGACCGTAGGGCATAGAAAGGGTGTAGCTCTGCTGGGATCCAAAGCTGTGGGAGTTGGTACTCCGTGTCTTCTAGAGTTCAGGCTTTAGGGTTTAGGGTTAGGGGTTTAGGGTTTAGAGTTCAGGCTTTAGGGTCGTGGGTTAGGGGTTTCGGAGCGAACTAAGGGCTTTGAGCTGTTCGGCATGATTCAACAAGTTTCAGTATGGGGACTACTGTCTGCCAACAGTTTCTGAGAAACTTAAGATGCAGCGTAGTAGTAGAGTAGGCGATCTTTCACCCTCCTGGTGTATTAGAATAATTAGGGTAGTTGGGGGTCTAGGATTCTCAAGTTTGATGTTTACTCCGGCACCTGCATTGGATAGAAATCTCCCCGTGCCTTGTTTTCCGCACTNNCCCCCCCCCCCCCCCCCACCCACGCCTCAAGTTTTGGACACCGTCTACCCTATTGAAGGATTTTCGCATTTAGGCCTTATCCCTAGGACTCCAAGGTAATTGGGAGACTCTCCGTTATTCGCGGATCTACCCCGCAGAAGCAGGGCCCGGTCTAGAGCGTAGAGCCTGGAGTTTATGGCGCGCTGCAGCTTTACCGTTACCCTCAAAGGACTCATATTTTAAGGCTAGTAGGCCCAAAGACCCTATTATAAACGGTTTTTGGCCTATTTTGGTTAGGAGCCCTACTAATCTCAACAAAACTGAACCCTAAACTCTAAACCAGGGTCATTTGAGGCAAGTTCCTATGGCATCTTGATGCTTTCGTTGGCTCTATGGTATCTAAGGTTCAACATCCCGAAGGCTCCATGTGCTCATAAAGTATGGGACTTTCCGAAAATTAGGG